ATCATTACAAAAGAAAAAGGACTGTTCTCCAAATTCGGCATCAACATACAGTTCGTGATCTTCACGTAAGTTCTCCGGATTCTCATCGTCTAATGCCGGTATGGAAACATCATGCCACTCATCGCGATCACGTCTAACCTTCGACTGATTCACACGTACCACTGCCTTACCAGTATTGGCTTGGACCATAGCTCCTTCTTGTCCAAGTACTGAGGCACGAACCCAACGTCCTTTATCCTTGAACTTTGATGAATCCTGAGTCCAAACAAAAACCTTCTCTCCTTGGAAATAGGGACCGTCACTTGGCATAGTCCTTCTTGCAAGATCTGCTCGAAGGTCCTGAGCTTGTCGTGCTTCTTGATGAGCTCTCAAAGCCACACGTTGTAGTTCCAAATTTGTACGATCTTGTGCGGCGGCATTAGCTGACAATTGCTCAGGGCTTGCGGTCTCAAGGTCAAAAAGATCTGGTGGACGTCTTCCAGTTGCTATCTCTATTGGTGAATATCCACTGATAGTCAACTGACAATTTCTTGCCCAAACTACCTTCTTGACCACTTCTCTGACCGTAACACCACGAAAACGTGGGTCATCCAGATCTACCTTCATAACATGCCACATACGTTTGAACAAACGTACAGCTGTCTCTGCTCGGTTCGACCAAGGAGTTCTTGGCCCACAAGGACATTGTTGTATACCATGGAACCTGTAGTATTCAACAAAAGCATCGGTGAAAAAAGCTTCGTCTCCTACGATGGCCTTCGGAACACAGTTGTTCTCATCAGACCACTGCCTCAATGCTTGGATGGTGGTTTGATCTATGAGGTCTTTCTGTGCCGTAGCCCAGAGAAGATTTGTGGCACCATCAAGAACAAGTAAAATGATATACTTGTTCTTGTGAAGTTCAACCTCACAATGATCAGCAAAAACAACATCACCAAAACATGAAGCTCTAATACCGGAGACTCTGGCTCGTGGCGGAGGTGCCACTGAAGTGTTACAAACACGGCAGTTCCTGACAACTGATTCATACTTCTCTAAAACAGAGTCAGGAAGCTTCAACATAGAAACACGTCTACGAAACTGAGTAGGACTCATATGGTAGTGCTTCACATGAAGCTTATAAAGCTCTACCTTGTCCTCCAGTCTCTGTAACATCTTCCTATATGCCGGTGTCATTGCAACAACTTCACTACCAGGTAATGGGATTGAAATCCGCCTAGGCTCAAGAGCGCCATCACCTGGTTCAAGGGGTTCATGTTTATCACTTGATGGTCCTTTTGATGCTTTAGGAATTTCTACAAGTTCACCTTCTGGCCTCTCAGGTGGTTCTGAGGGAGCATATTCCTCAAGATCATCACCCTTTAAATCATTCTGAGGCTCAGATGGTTTTGACTTGTGTCCTTTCCAAAATGGATCAAAACCCTTGGAAGTATACCGAAACTTTGGCGGCACGGGCTTTTCCGCGGCACTGGATGGTGCACCTTCCTTCTCTGAAGAGAAGCCTGGTTCCCTGTCCTTTGCAATGGGAACCTTCTCTGAGGAGGAGCGCACCACTGCATCGGGATCACCAATGCCACGGTGCTCAATGCCAGCCTTCCTGATCTTTAGATCTGGAATTTTGGCATCTGGTTTGAACTTAAAAATTGTTCTACCACGCCATTCATAGCCAATTTGTAGGTCCTTCCATTTTGCCTTGCGCCAATCATCTAGCTTCTTGATTTCTTCTCCTCCTTTCTTCTTCTTGATGATTGTCAGTCGCAAGTCTTCCAGTAAGTCAGTGTCTACAGGACAGGACTTAGTTGCTGGAAAAAGAATCTTTCTATAATCCTTGTGGTGACGTATCAGTTCTCTCTTGTGAACATCTACTTCCCAGTAGTCAACCACAGGATATGCATGTTCAGCTACATCTTCATCACTATTGTGGTCAACAGAAATATGACCATATTCATAGTGAGTGAAGTGAGAGTAAAAACTCTTCTCGCGCCGAGTCTGCAAATTCACGTCAGACAGATACCATGCAATTTCTTGGAAGTCCAAGACAAGATGAGTACTGGCTGCAACCTTCAACTCCAAATACTTGATACCAAGAGGCACCGATGTCAGATAAGCATGTTGAGGTGTCAGCCTGAGTTCAAAGCCTAAGTTCCTCATCTGTGGCAAGCTCATAAGCAAAGGGACTTCTCCTTCTTCCACTATGTCGAACTCTGTATGGTGGATCGTCCATGCACGATCATACATGTAAATCACCAGTTTCTGAGAGCAAGTAGCCTTCTGGGAATTGGCAAAGTAAAACTTGCTCTTGGTAGCCTCAAAAGAGTACCATAATCCACAATCTGGGTGATTGTCGACATAGTTGCAAAAATGGTCGACTGCTCGCCTTGATCCCATAGCTCTAGTGCATCCAATGTCCAGGATTGCAATCGTCGGCGGGAAGCGATTCTCAGTCAAAAATGAAATGGCCTGCATCTCCTTCACTTCTTCCTCAGCGCTCATAAGCGCAAAGCCATCAGGAGCCTTTGTGAGCATCTCCTTTGACAAAGAGTACCTCACAGGGGCACTCATGCCATTGAAGATCGTCTCACCATTGTTGACCGCGCAGTCAGCTTCATCTTGACATGAGGTCATCATGCCTGACAGCAAGTCCACCTCACTGTCATGGACTTCAGCTGCTGCTGTCACACAATGTGCAAAGAAACCTTGTTGACCTCCTGATGCTTGTGAAGATCTTGAAGGTGCAGGCAAAGAACGTGGCTGTTGTTGATTTGCATAGTTTGCATCTTGTTTGCCATCTCCTTTATCTTTTCCTTTTCCTTTCTTGCCTTTTCTCTTGCCTTTTCCTTTTCCTTTGTGGGAAAACCATGCTTCTTCTAGCTGTTGCCAAAAGTCATTGGCATCATCATATTCTCCTTGAAGATAGTCATTCATATCTTCGGCAAGAATGGCATCATATGCTACTTGGTTTGACTCCCAAGTGTCCTCATAAGGATTCTCTTCAAAGTATTCATCTGGAAAAGTTGTCTGTTGCTCATCAGCAAAATGGCCTTTACCTCGTCTCTTTCCTTTTCCTTTTCCACGAGGTCTGAAGAATCTGCGGCCTGATCTTCCTTTGCCTTTTCCTTTTCTTCTACCTTTTCCTTTGCCTTTTCTGGCTCTTCTTCCTTGGAATCTCCTTTGGAACCACGAGAAGTTTTGATCATCATATACCCAAAAGACATCGTCTAGGGCATCTAAAAATCCTTCTGTTCCATCTTCTTCATCTTCGGCCCAATAGCCAAATGTACCATCGAGTTCTCCTTCTTCAAGTACAAGGAATGATCTTCTACCTCCAGCACCTGTCGGCTGCATCAAAGGATTGTCTACTGAAGTCTTTGTCGTGCAGAACATCTCAATGAAAACTGTCCTCAACTCTGTTGTAGTGTATTGCTGCAAGACCCTGCCACGATGAGTCATCAAGGAAGTCAAAGTGTTTCGCTGGTCCTGAGACAAATCTGCAAGTGACAGCATGAGTAAGGCAATGAGATTTTCTCCTAGAGGAAATTCGTTCTGATGAAAAGTCCTCATATTGCCATTGATGGTCTGCATGATTTCCTGAATCCTTTCTGCCGTTGGTGCTACTCCAGTCAACGCTGCATCAGCCTGCATCTGAGCTAGGACCTGAGGATGTGCTTGTGTGACTGGCTCTAACATGTCCATCCAACTGCTCATAAGCCTTTGGAGTAAAATCTGGAATCTTGTCATCCATTTCATCATGTCAGCTGATCCTCGATTGAAGCGCACGAATTGCATAAACCTATACAGGAATACATTGGTGGACCCTTTCACAAAATATGGTCGTAGTACTCTCTTGAAGTAATCTACTCCAGCTCCTGGTGGCTCATTAGCCTTCAATGCATCTCTGTCTAAAACACGCTTGTATACAGCTGCTTCTCCTTCTAATCTGTTTCTCAATGCTGGTCCTCTCTTCTCATCTTCCAGCTCGGTGATATCACACCAATCGTCTATGGCATCCTCATAGGAAAACCATGAAGTCTTTCCATCATAAGATGGGGGCACCTTTGTAGTGACCTGTGTTGTCATTGCTATTGCTGCTGGTTCTCTTCTCACATGCCTATTCACATAGGCTGCTGGCTCATAAGCCACATCCGCATCAGGCTCTTCCCAGTCGTCAATCCAATCCATGGCCGTTTGCCCACAAGCAATTCTATGCCTAGGAAAGGAGCTCACCTGGGTCTTCCAGGATCACTGCTCCGCTACCACTGAAAGAGTGACTAGGGCGTACACGGTAGAGGTGCAGACCGCTAGTGTCTTTTATGCGCAGAGTCTTATCCTCTTGCTCTTTGAGCCTTGAAGCAGTCAAGCATGGACACACTATATCGGCTGTTGGAGTGGAACCCTGTACAGGTAGGCTCTACTTTTCAAGGGGGGGGGGGTTGAATTGAGCAATCAATTATTCGACCCGGACTCGCCGACACTTGCTTCGCAAGTCAAACTCAAGGTATCCCCTAAAGGGCTACCTTTCGTGACATGAAGTGAGATCACAGTGAAGAGTTCAGATTAATTGTTTGGCATCTTCCTCCACTTTGGTTTGGAGGGTCTTTCTGCCGTTCCCAAAATCCAACATGGGATGGATCTTGGATGTTCCTGGGTGATACAAATCGTCAAAAAAGAGAGACATATATAAGTGAGTCTCAAGTCATAGGGGAAGCGATATTCTATTCTTGCGTGGGCTAAGCCAAGCAAGTTCTATCCAGAGATCAAATACCGCAAAGGGAACGTCAAGATCACTCGCTCTCTTATCGCGGGAAAAAGCACACACGATGTCTGCCCAGTTCGGGAATAAATAGAAGGGGTCAGTGGACCCTTGACCTATTGCCTGTTCACGTATTATCCTCTGTATTGACCAAAAGAACATCCACCAACTGGCCATCAATCCGACTATTCTCAATCACGGGCATCAACCAATCCCCTCTATTGTCCACACCCTCGATGTTCCACAGCGCCTCTCCCAGACGTAGCCGACTATTGGGATCCTCCACCTGGAGACGCGCGAGGAAGCGCGCGCACGGCTCCGCTCCAAACGGAACGCCCATTGGATTGGCGGCAACCAGGGGTTGGGTGGGTGGTGGATCGCGGTGGTTCCACCAGTGAGGTTTGTTTGAAGTTTTGAAGTAACAAATGAATGAAGAACTTCGAAGGACCTGTTTGGGATAGACATGGAGAGAAAAAAGTGAAACGTTGCGGCCGACGAAAGGAAGATCGATGAGTTTTTGCTAGAAGGTCCGGCGCGGTCCGGAAGAGACCTTGATTACTTTTGAATACTTTTGATAGTTTTTATGATTCAAATTGAAATGAGCCGACATCATCATTCTTCCGCACGGGGGAAACACCTTTGATCGAGTCCATGCCATTCGTTCCAACAAGAAACACTCAAATGGATTCAACTGGATCTATCAGTCCGTCCAAAGACCAGGACTCTCCCCATTGCTGCATGCTCAGGACGGTCTGATGCATTGCACATGTAAAAGTCCAGAGATGTTCAGAGTGCAGACCAGATCAACTCAATTATGGGGGTCTTCAAAAGAATCTCTGCTCCTACCAAGAGTGTGCGCTGGCGCCTGCTCGGTGAGCTCTTCCAAAGCCATGTCAGCTGTGATGCCGCCTCCAGGTCGCTTGGGAGGCCGCTTCGCCGAAAAAGAACGAGGCTCCCCTTGGGTGAAAAGGACCCGAGACCAGTCGCGGAGTTTCAGACGCTTGCTGAGCCTTTCGATGTGCGTCACTACAGACCTCAAAAGAAGACTGCAGCACCAAACAGGGAGGAAGCCCTGCCAGCATCTGCCAAAAATGGAACCTCCATCTCTGAAGGATGAAAGATCCCACTCATCAGAGGTGAGGGTCACTCTGACTCTACGACGCTACGAGAAGTTTTCAGACGCTACGGGCTTTGGAGAAACGCTTTCCCTCTCATCACACCCTATTGTTTCGAGAAGAACTCTCAAAAAGCCCGGCGTGGTGCCGCTTGCTCCAAAAAGTCCACGAGTTTTGGCACTGAGGGCTCATGGCACTGGTGGCTAGCCGCTAGGTCGGTGGGCCGGTGGACCCCCAAACTCCCAAGCCATCCGACAATTTTTCGAGATGAGCCTTGGCGTCAAGCCTTGTGAGTTCAAGTGTTGATTCTATTCTATTTCACTAATCTCTGTAATTATTGTAAGGTTGTCCCCTTTTCAGAGAAGTCCCGTATCAAGGTCTCTTTGGGATCTCCTGCACAAAAAGGTCTGCTTCCCAAGCGCTCGCGGGTCGCCTGATTCTTCATCATCCTCTCCCGTGGGCTCCTAGATGCATGGATTGCGGCTCTTCAGTCTCAACGTGGCAAGCGGCAGCTCCCGATGCCCTTCAAAACACCGATTGAACTGAAAACCATCCGATGCCGAAGCTCACAGGTGTTGGTGAAATGTCATGGGTCGTCGGAAGAAGCCGAAGTGGCCAAGTCCGAAATCGAAGCCAACTCAAAGCAAGGGGGCCTGCCATGTTCTCCTTGTCTCGGTTAAGGAACAACAAGTGTCTTTCCTTGCAAAGATCTGACACTGAGGCACAACTTGCTGTAGTTAGTTGGTCCCCAATGCAGGAACAAACAACGACTGCTATCGGCTTTCCCCCGTTAAAGTCATTGACCACAGCACAAGAAAAGAAACTACAACATATACTGGCCAAACCAACGTTGAATATCGTTGAGTTGAGACAATTGGAGCCTGTCATGTCAAGAAATTCCTTCCTCCCCCCACACACCCTCAGTGGACTTCGCTCCAGAATCGATAGTAGGACCTTCACAGAGCCCTTCTGAAAGCCATTCACCTGGCAGAATCACTGCCGGTGGCCGCCCGTGACCAGCAACACCAAGTGCTCAACCCGGTGCTGAACCCGCTCGGCAGAACCAAGTCGGACCGTTTGGAAGAAACACCGGTCGAAGAACCTGCTGGGAGTTTCCTCCTCTGCACTTTCTGCCTAGCACAGATACCTGGACTTTCTGCACTTTCAGTTGCACTTTCGGTGCTTCTTCCAACTTGGAATTGGGTGTGGTCGGTCGCATACCGATACCGATTACCGTCTCAGGCAGACAGGGCGAACCGAGTAACTCGTTGTGCGGTGCGACGAGGTCAGCGTGCTCGGATGAGACGTGGCACGTTGTTGCCGTTTTGGGCAGATTTTTGTTGGGCCTCCATGGGGCTCGTTTCATTCCAGAAAAGTACTCGGATCCGACCAAATGCCTGGCTTTTCATAGGCATTGAAAGATCAGCTTGGATGACGATTCCTGTGGCCATTTCAGCCTGGAGTTGTTTCATGAGATCCCATGGACACGCGAACACAGAACGAAAACAAAGCCGAGAGAAGGTATGTGAAGATCTCCACAAGAATTCACCGAACCAAAAAGGATCAAAAAGGAATCATGATGGGCCAACAAACCGATCCCATTTTCTCTGGGTGCTAGGATCTGTGCTCCCACTGGCACAATGCATCACAATGTTACAAGCTAGGCAGTTCAGCAAATCCCCCTGTTTTGCATCTGTGACGCACCTCGCAGTGCATGCAGAGCAGGCAGGTCCCTCCTCATCACGACCAGTTGAAGCCGACCGGGGTTCTCAGTTGAAATCGAGACCTTGAGTCTTAGGCTTTGAAGCAAATGCACAGCACTCTGACGTAGGACTGATGCACTTTGCGCAAACCGAGATTTTCCATAGCCTGTGACGATCGTACAGGTCAATTCCTTGCTGTGCTTGAGCTCGGTAGCTACTGCAGTCGAGAGCCAATGACGCAAAGCGAGATGAGCAGCTCCCTTTGAGAGATTGTGGAGGTCAAGAATGAAAATTCCGCACTCTCGCACATTGGACACTTCTGGCAAGTTGCATTGCAGAAACATATCACTGCCAATCTGGCCTGTATGAACTGCGGCACAGTCAAACAGGGCGTTGTAAGTAACTATGTTTGGCAAGACTTTCTTTGTGTGCATGGCCTCAAAAAGATTCAATGCTTGTTGCCATTGGCTGCCCTTCTCACAGGCACTGATGGCTGAATTGTAGCTGATTACATCTGGTTGCGCTTTTGCCCATGACATGGCCTCAAACAGCTTCAAGGCTTGTTGCCATTCCTCGCTCTTCCTACATGCACTGATGGCTGCGTTGTAACTGATGACTTTCGGCTGCACATGTGCCTTGAAAATGGCATCCAAGAAGGTCAATGCTTGCTGCCATTGTCCTGCCTTCTCACAGGCGCTGATGACCGCAGTGTAGCTGTTGACGGTAGGCTGCACAGTTGCCTTAGGCATGGCCTCAAAGATCATCAACGCCTGTTGCCATTGTCCTGCCTTCTCGCAGGTGCTGATGGCCGCCTTGTAGCTGATAGCATCTGGCTGCACAGTTGCCTTGGGCATGGCCTCGAAGAACGTTAATGCTTGCTGCCATTGTCCCGCCTTGTCACAGGCACTGATGACCACAGTGTAGCTGATGACAGTTGGTTGCACAGTTGCCTTGGGCATGGCGTTGAAGGACGTTAATGCTTGCTGCCATTGTGCCACCTTCTCACAGGCGCTGATGACCGCAGTGTAGCTGACGACGGTTGGCTGTACTCTTGCCAGTGGCATGGCCTCCAACAGCTGCAATGCTTGTTGCCATTCGCCAACCTTCTCATAGGCGCTGATGGTGGCGGTGTAGCTGATGACAGTTGGCTCCACTTTCACCTGTGGCATGGCCTTAAGCAGATTCAGCGTGGTTCTGTCCAAAAAAAACTAGACAACGAGTGGCCCGAAAGCATTTTTCATCACGTAGGAAGTCAGAGCGCGAGTTATCTGTTAAGTGTGCAGTGTGAAGTGTTAAGTCGAGTGAGTTGAGGTTGTGTGTGGGTTTCTGTGTGTGTGTCTATGTCCGTGTGTATATGAGTCTGCGTATGTGTGTGTGTTCGTGTAAGTTGAGGCAGTGCGTGGGTGTCTGTGTGTGATGCGGCCTCCCAAACCCCCCACCGGCGGCCAAGCGGTGACAGCCCAGCTCATCGTCATGAGCATGTGAGCTGCTGGTAAGGGGAGAAGCAGCGTGCACGGCTGCAGGGAATCTCACTGAAAAAAGCGAGCTGCAGGGAATCTTCCCACTCCCCAGCTACTCCGCGTACTAACGTTGTACTACCCAGTCGCCAGTTCTCATCTTCCAGCTCCCCGGCTACTCCGCGTACTAAAGTTATACTACAAAGTACACCTCTCGCCTGCCTTTCGCGCGCTCGACACGCCCGATCTCCGCAGAGGGTTGCGCGCGCACACACCCCACCGCGCTCTCGCCTGCGTTTCGCGTACTCGACACGCATGATCTCCGCAGAGGGTTTGCGCGCGCACAGACTCAATCGCACTCTCGCCAGCACTTCGCGCACTCGACACGCACGATCTCCGCAGAGGGTTGCGCGCGCAGCCGGCAAGTCGCACTCTCGCCTGCATTTCGCGCACTCGACACGCACGGTCTCCGCAGAGGGTTGCGCGCGCAGCCGGCGAATCGCACTCTCGCCTGCATTTCGCGCACTCGACACGCACGATCTCCGCAGAGGGTTGCGCGCGCACCGCGCCAATCGCACTCTCGCCTGCATTTCGTGCACTTGACACGCACGATCTCCGCAGAGGGTTGCACTTTCGGTTGACGCTGTTCGTCCCACCCTCCGCCTTAAAGAGAGAATTTATAAAGTGGGGAAATGTTTTTTCATTAGGACATCTCCCGTGGTAGTTTTCCATACTCACACTTGCCTACTCTTTGCATGCTTGTTGCATGCTTGCATACTCATCACTTGCATACTTACACTTGCATACTTCCACTTGCATACTTTGCCACTTGCACTTGGCTGCTTTCGCTCTTCCACTTACACTGGGGTACGTATAGCGTTCATGTTGTCGTGCAAGTGTGGTGAAAGTGTCAGTGTGTAAGTGTAAGTGTCGAAGTGTCAGTGTTCAAAGGATTTTCCGGAAGAACCCTTCGCAATGCTTTCGGGAACAAGGCCTCACGTAGCAAATAGAAAGTTTAAGGACAGTTGCAAAGCACAGATTGAAACTAAAGGGTGTCGGCTGACACAAGCTTACTTCAACCAGGATGCCTTTGCTACAATGGTCTGCTTGATTTTTCAGTACCCCCACCAGCAACTGTTGAAAGTAAAGCCTGATCGACTGTTAACACTGCTAACACATGTTCTTTGGAAAGCCACCATCGAATCACTGGTGGCAGAGACCGGCACCACGGTTGCCTGCCTTGCGGTCGTCGCCGGCACCGAAGCCTTCGTCGCGAGCCAGAAGCCTTCCTCCCAGAGCTTCAAAGAGAGGTTCATTGCCTTGGATGGCAGAGAGGGAGGCGTGCCATCACGGTGGCCTCGCGGGCTACAAAACCTCCCATGGCTGCCGTGGCTTTGTTGGAGTGACCAACAACTTGGAGACGTGACGTGACCATCTCAGTTGGTCTCATGTCAATTCAGTTCAAAGTTGATTCACTTTATTTTTTGTCCATGGTCACTGACACTGAGATTTTACGAATCACCCAAACCACGGTGTGTTCACCTTCCAGAGAAAAAAGAAAAAGAAAGACACCAGAAACCGAACCTTCATCGTACTTTGATAGACCTTCACTCAATCCATCTGCCGCTGCAAAGTGTCTCTTTTGGATCTCTTCTTGGGTCGCTTCTTTGAGCCACACCTACCAGGCCTCGTCTTCAGTCCAATAACTATATACTATGTTTATATAACTGACTATATATATATATATATATGTATATTATATACCTACTTCGAAGGCAGAGTGAATTCTGCCTCGGCTGCTCCCTCAGAAACTCTGTAGGGATTGATTGCCCATGACGTGTTCCGGACGGAGGAAGAGGTGAAGCCGGGCTTGTTCCGGATGCGCCCATCTTTCGATCGCTGCAGCTCAGTCGAATTCATCCTCCAGTAAATCCTCGGGCCAGCCGGCGAAAACGTCCTGATCTTCATCCAAGTCGTCCAAAGAACCTCGATTGACGAGTCGGATGTGGATGAGTAAACCATAGTAGACCTCTCAATTGCCTCAAGATGGTGATCGTCGGACACAAACAATCCTAGCTTGAACCCAAAATCGAAAATTGGAACAGGCATGTCAACCAACCATGATTGGAGGACACTTGGTTCCCGCCGTTTGTGGGTCTGTCTCTTTTGGGGTGGGAAAATCCCCAAAGAAACCTCAGTCTCGGGTTCTAGCAAGTTTGTGTCATGTCATTGATGATCATAGATGTGCGGATGGATGCCTTCTATGTTGACCTAGTTTCATGGGAAAATCTAGGGGACCTTGGTTTGGTTGCGAGCCAATACGGCTCAATCTATTCAATCTGTGAACAAGTGCCCTGTGACTTTTGAAAACAAAAAACATTCAGCCAAATAGCCAAATAAAAGTTTGCCCCTAAATATTCCCACTGGGCAAAACCCTGAACTTGAATGAATTTGACGCGCTTTTGACCCTTCATTGACTCATCACCCAGCCACATCCCATGTCCACAGGTCCCCAGGAAAATCCGTTGCCATCATCAACTCCGGCATCGGAGACCACGTGTCGCGATGTCGAGAGCACGACGCGATGAGGAGAAGCAAAGGTGGCCTCCAAGAAAACATCAACACCACACCCGTCCCATCAGCCGGTCCCCTTAGTTTCACTCTTCATCTTGGACCCCAACTCCCAAAATGGACTTTGCCTCATGAGAATTCGACCCGATCTCATACAAAGCACTGTTCTCACGCTTCGGCTCGGCCATCACACAAAAGGCGCGCCAAAGGCAACCACGTTAAATGCGCAGCCACACGGCTGAACGCGTCAAGC